AACTGTTTCCGAAGAAGAAAAATTAGCCAAAGAGGCTTACAATGAAGCATTTAGAGAAAATTTTGTCGATTTAATTAAACAGTTTCACGAAGCCCGCGAGCAATACGAAGCATTAAGCGAAGAAGAAAAAGAATTTTACAATAAAAGAGATGAATTACACCAGCAATTGGAAGAAAAACAGTTTAAATTAGTCAATTATCAGATTAGAATTCAAGAACTCATTGATAATCCAGACGAGAAAGCCCAAGAGTTCGCTAGTTGGAGTTTGGAATTAAGTGAGGTAGTGGAAAGAAATCAAAGAAATTAGTCGGAAACTTGAAATGTTAGAAAGTGAGCAAAAAATCAGGCAATTGAGAAAAGAGATTGAAGAAATAAAATTATCGGTAAAGGACCCGCAAAAAACAAGAAATATTCTCCTAATTGGTCGCACTGGGAGCGGAAAATCTACTCTTGGCAATGTTTTTGAACAAAAATGATAATTTTGAGGAAGTTTTTAAGGAAAGTGATGCTAGTATCAGCGAAACCAAGCATATTCAAACCGAGAAGTTCGCCCTTGTTTTAAGTAGAGATGGCACTCAACAAATTAATTATCTAGTAATTGACACAGCCGGATTTGGCGATACTAAATTAAGTGAAAAAGAAGTTCTCCAATTGCTTAAAGATTTAGTGCCAATTATTAAAGAAAATGGAATCAATCAAATATTCTTAGTTAATAATGGTAGGTTTAAAAAAGAAGAAATCGACATTTACAAAATATTAGAAAATGTTCTTTTTGACGAGAATGCTGGCAAATTTACTACTATTGTGCGGACAAAGTTTTCTCGATTTGGCGACCAGGAAGCTTGCGAAGAAGATGAGCGAAAATTGCGAACAGAAAACAACGAAATTGCTGAGATTTTGCAAACAAGCAAATTAATTCATGTCGATAATCCGCCATTGGAAGGTCGTCCAAGGGTAATAGAAGTAAATAAGGAAACCAGAGAAATGTCTCGAACAAGACTGTTAACTTACCTTGGCACTTGCCAGGATAATTATAAATCGGCTAAATTAG